AGAGATAAATTATTGCCTTTTGCTTTTCAGTTTTCCAGGTGCTAGCAGCAAGTACCCACGGCTTCCTATCTCAGCTGTCACACAAGCAACAAACATCCCTCTAACCCCTGAGTTTAATTACCCCAAAGCCAGAGCAGTCCCAGCTCAGGCCAAACCTGAACAAGCCTGAGAAATCGGTAAGAAATGCTGAAAGTACCTGCCTGGGTGCAAGGGCAGAGCCCACGGCGAGATGCTCTGGGCAGGATCTGCTGCTCCCCTCTGGTAACTCGGGCACGATTGTGTTCAGTGAAGCAGTTGTGCAGTGGGGCTGGTTTCTCAGGCCACTCCTGTTGCTGGTTACTCCAGTGTCATTTAAAACCCACCCTGTAAAATGCCCCCCATCAGGTTTTTGGTGAAGCTGGGCTATCAGCTCCCTCACACATGGGGTGACATGACACACTGCCTGTTTCTGACGTGTCCCACATGCCTGACATGCTCCCTGCAGAGCAATCAAAGCCATCCACACAGTCATGAGATTTTCAGCTGGTTCCTGTTACAGCTCTGTGTTAACATTTATCCTTCTCCTGTTCAGTGGGTGTCCGTGCATGCAGCAAATGAGAAAATTAATTCTGAGAGAGCAAACTTCTTTCTAATATTTGCTCTCTTTCTCTCCCATCTGAATGCATTTCCAGCTTTAAGCACACTCTCCTGGAGTTATGATTTATCATCCTGACTTGTTTCCCAATCTAAGGGCAAATACTTCCTCTCCTAATGACATCTTGTTAAAGTCTTCAAACATAACATCTCCTCAGCCTTCAAAGCTCCATCCATCCATCCATCCATCCATCCATCCATCCATGAGCTTACTTGAGTCGTCTTCCCAGGCAGAAACTATCCCTGTGTTTGATCTAATGAGGATTTTTGCCACAGGAATACATCTCATGATGTGAAACAGTGCAGTTTCTGCATTCTGCCTTTTCCCCAATGCAATGCTTGCTCACTGACTGCTCCACTCATGAGTTAGCAGAGCTCAAGCAGTACTTAGTCCCTTCTCACTGGTCTTACTTGGGATGTTCTCCTTCCTTGGATGTAATTGCTGATTTCTTCTGGTTTACTGCCCACACAGTCAGTGACACCAAAATACAGAGCTCACCAGCACTCAGTGTCACACCAGGTGCTCCATGGCCAACCTAAACATTGGTCTCATGGCCTGTCTGCACGCTCTCACATGGAACTTGCATTCCAAACACGTATTCCTTGATATATAAACTACCTAGGGTTATCCTCCCTGATGCTGGGGCATTCCCAGCAGTACGTGCACCCTTCTGTAAGGGCTTGCAAACTTGTTTCCTTGTATGAAAGAGGCGGCCCTTTCCTCCTTCAGTCCCCTCTACTCTTCTCATCTGCATTTTATAACCAAACAGAAGAAGAAAGCAAACCCTCCCCCGTTACCTTAACTCTCACGAGTGGCTGAGCTGGTAGCCCCGAGCAGCTCTGTCGCCCTCCGGGTTCCCAACCCCAGCCCCCTGGAGCGCCGGGAAGGGGAAAGGCGCAGCTTTCCCGAGGCTGCCCTAATGCGGACAACGTGCGCGTTCGGCGGGGGGAATGGAAACCCGCCCGCCCCGCCCGGAGTGGCCATCGCTGCAAATTAGCCAAGCTGCCTCCAGCGAAAGCGAGCCAGGCACTGAGAAGATAAATACCCACTTAGCACAGCGAAATAAAACCAGCCCCAAAAAGATGCGAGACCCCAAAGGGGGACTGAAACAGCCCCTTGCAAACAGTGAAGTAATGGGCTTACAGTTTTATTATCCGTATAAAGTTTAGTGACTTCAAAATGAACGCGAAGCCAAGCAGGACTTGTTATCCCACTGAAATCTGTGCTGTAACTGAAGCCAGTGCCCAGATGTTCCGTGGTAAAATCCACCGCCTCGCTGCTTAAAAGCACCACATACCCTGACGTACAGTCCTGGCTTGCCTTTATCCAAACCTACTTAGATTCTGGATTGTTTTTCTAGCAATCCTTTCAACTGCCATGGGAAACATAAAAGGTGGTCTCCTACAAAACCATTTGGTACCAGCCTGAAATGTAACCATTTGCAGAAATAAATCAGGATTTCTTTTTAATAAACTGTTTATCGCCAGCCTCTCGGGACATAAATTATAGGAGAAAAAGCAAGGTCTGAGTTTAATAAACATCTCATCTTTAATATATATATTAAGGCAGAAGACCCTAGGACACCTCAGAGTGAAACATCCAGCAAGCAGCCTCCATCCAGCCCTGCTGAGGGCATGGCATGGAGCAGAAGGCCACTGCATGGATGGAGCTTTCAGGAAAGGGTTTATCCCTTCATTTTCAGGGGGCATCTAAGGTAGGCAAACCTTCTAAGAAGGACAAAGGGGACTTGAAGTCACCATTTCTGCCCCTGCACGCAGCTTCTGGTTTGTGAGCCGGGATGCTCTGGGGCAGCCCGAGCTCTCGGAGCGCTGAAGGATGCTCAGGCTCCAACGCACGGGTGGTGCTGCACACGGAGCCAGGGCACCGAGCCTGCCCACAGCGCTGCATCCCCAGCCTGGCTCGCAGGAGAAGGACGAGGGTGCTGGGAAAGCCCCGCAGATGGGCCGGAGCTGCGTGCCGGGACCGCAGATGAACACCGGCATTTAAGCTGAGCGGGGAAGGCAGCGAAGGCGTGACGTGATTTTGAACAGCTTGCTTGACAGTTTGCACCAGATTGTATTTATAAACATTGGGGAAACCTCAGAGCTTTTCCTCCGCGTTTCCGAAGTGCTCACCCACAACAACACAGGCGCGTGGGGCGATCCTACACAGCTCTGCCTCGCCTCGCTGACAAACTTCTCACAATTAAATAAAGGGGCCCACAGTCATCTCGGTGGGATCAGCATCCCACACAGTGCTCAAATTCCCTCTCATCTCATCTCACCACCAAATGCTGACCTTCCCCAGGGCGGCTGGGGCACGAGGTGGCCTGCTGGCCCATGACGCCAGCAGCACGTCACACGCGTGTGCCACCCCTGCCAGGTGTGGCTGGCACCAGGCTGCCACTGGCAGAGCCCAGCATGTCCCCACTCAGGAGTGGGACATGAATATTTTGTCACTTCACTGGCAGGGATGCAATGATACGCTGCGGTGCCCACCCTCCACAGCACAGAAATCAATGGGATTTCTGTTCAGGGCCACACAGAGACAAGGAGAATGGGATGCACACGCAGTCCTCATGATGGAAACGTGACGAGGAATTTTGCAGACAGATTATAAAGCTCTCACAAAATTAAGAATGGCTCATTATCTGCTGACACAGAAAGCCCATGAGGAACAAGTATCACTGTGCTCACAACAGGGTCAAACACAGCCATAGGATCCTGATACACCCACACGGTACCCACACGTGATGCACTACTGCACATTTCAGCATGTTCTTAATGGTCAAAATAGAAGGTAAAAATCTCTCAGTGTTTTAAAAAGCCCTCTTCTGCTTCAAATGTCAGTGAGTTTTAAATTCTAGACATTGCTCTGAGTACTTCAGAGAGCTGCAGTGGCACTAGAAAGCTGACCTGGGCAGCTCTCCTGCAGGTACACGTTTCGCTATGAGGCAGGAGAGCGCAGCTGGGAGGATGAGGCATTCCTGACAAGAAGCAATCCGAAATACCATTCCTAAAATAGTTCAGATTCAGCGATTTTCAAAGTAGGCTGAGCAGAAACACAAAGTTTTTCCCCCTGCTCCCTCACGGCACAGCCAAGGGTGCTGATGGTGTCCAACACCCAAGCGCTGTTTTTATGGAAACCAGGTTATGGCCAAGCCAGCAGCGCCTGCCCAGGGTCACCGATGCCATAAATCACTGGCTGCCAACCGCCCAGGGAGGAATTCACCCTCTCATCGCTCTCGCCCCTTCCACTTTTACAGGCACAACTCCACAGTCTCGACCAAGCGTGAAATGGGTGCATCGAGGCTGGGAGCCCAGCCTCAGTGCTGGATGGGCTGCCAGAGCAGCCTGGCTGGGGGATGCTCCAGTGGAGACAGTGCCACGCTTGTGCCACTGAACATCTCCTGCTATCTGTGGCTGCTCACAATCAGCCAGCTGGGACACGGGGGCCGGGAATTTAAGGCAGGGACCTTGCCTCCCCTCTGAGCTCGCCTCCTGCAGCTCAGTCGAGCCGCAAGAACAGCGATACTGTTTAATTGTTCTAATTAACATTGTAACTAGTTGCTAACCAGCCCCTTTGGTGGGGAGGGGATAATCCAAGGGAAGCTACAAGCTTCAGGACCCGCTGTCTGAAACCAGCCTTAGAGGCTGCCTAATCCACGTCGGTGTCGACCAGGATGATTTCCAGAGCGGTCATCCCTGGCACCAGGCTAACCCGTCCGGGGAACCAGGGCATGCTAACGTCGAGTGTTAAATTCATACAGAACAAACATGCTCAGAGAATCACAGCTTTTCAAAAATCTGCGCTAGCCTTTAACTGCGAAGGTTTAAATACATAAAAGTTCTATCTGCAAGTGATTAAACAGCGCTTTGTAGCCATTGTCTCTGCGCTGTCGAAATAAAAACAGAACCAAGGCTGCACGTAGCAAACCTCAGCGCTTACATCCCACCGTGGAGTTTTCTGTCTGCTTTTTTTTGGTAGCCACTTTTTTTTCCCCGAGAAACACGTCTGATGCTGGCAGAGCCGGAGCCGCTGCCTGCCTGGCACACGCCGGCTCCGCGGCAGCGCCGGAGGGCGAGCCGGGCTTCCCGGCAGCCGCACGGGCTGCGGGGCACACGGCCGCCGCGGGCAAAGAGGGCAAAACCGGGTAGGAGAAAACAAACCTCGAGGCATTCGAGAGGGCGCCGAGGTTACCCCGGCAGCATCCCGCAAAAGCCAGGGCGGAGCGGGGCCGCGGCTGCAGGGACGGCGCCGGGGCGGCCGCGGCCCCGGCCGAGCGTCCCGCAGCCGGCTCGGGCACCGCGCCCGCCCCGCGACAATCGGAGGGGGCTGCGCGGCGGCCCCGCTCCCCGTGCCTTACCTTGCGGCGTCCGGTCCCGTCCCGTGCCGTGCTGTCCCTCCCGCGGCGGGGGAGGCGTGGGTGGTTTTTTAGGGGGAGGCTTGGGTGGTTTTTTTAGGGGGGCGAGTGGTGACCTAGCCCCCCGCTCCGGTGGAGACGGGCTGCGGCGGGGACTGTGTCACGCACGTCCCTTCGCGCTTTATAGCCCCTTCCCTTCCCCACCCCTCCCCGCGGGGAAGAAAAAAAAAAAAAGAAAAAAAAAAGAGGAAAAACAATAAAAAGCTGAGGAAAGAAGCCGGGAGCCCCCCGGGCACCCGCCGCCGCCCGGGGCGAGGGCACGGCTCCGGCTTCGCCTCCCGGGAGGAGCCGCGGGGCGGCCGAGCGCCGGCAAAAGTTTGGCGGAGGGGGCGCGGAGCGGTAGCCCGGCCCGGCCCGCCGGCCCCGGCAGGACCGCGCAGGGGCAGCGCCGCGCCGCCCGGCTTTGTGCCGCGCTGCCGGAGCCTACGCAACATCCATCTTGCGGGGCTGGAGCCTGCCCGAAAGCGGAGCCGGGACGGGGGAATGCGGAGCGCTCCCGCTCCTCTCTTTCACGCGGTCGCTGCTTGAGGGGCTGCGGGAGCGCTGCGGAACATCCCAACAGCAATGGAGGCGGGAGAGACCGTCAAGGATGCGTGAGAAATGGGATTTGCTAAACCCTCCTGCGACTGAGCAAACGGGTCTCGAAGCTACATGTTCAACCTCTCACCTTGTCCCCCATCACGTTTGGGTCAGAGGCAGTTTTCAGGTTTGGAGGCCGAGGGACAATTTTCTTACTATTACCTGAGAGCTGCGATGAAAAGACAAAAACTATCCTTTGCCATTTAAAAACAAACCCATCTCTTTTTGTTTCCTTTCTGGCACATCAGTCGTAAAAACGTCAAGTGCTACATAAGCATTAAACAAGTTATTACTGATAGCAGCTGATGGGTAATTCCCAGAAGCTAATAATTCCTGCCCTTTTATTTCAACAGATTTGGGGAGCAAAAATTAAATAAACCCTCTTTTTTTTTTTTTTCTTTCCCCTTGCAAGACAGCTGAGCAAATCTGACAGCAAAGCCTCCGTGGAGGGATGCAAATTGTCATATTCTGTAGGGTGAAGTGTAGGGTGACAAACAGCTCCACTCTGTGAAGACACAACCCTCACAAGAGCTCATGCCTTCAGGGACACGCAGCTGTCCAGACTCCTGCTAATTGCCATCAGTTAGTGCCACTTACCTCCCACTCTGTCAACTCACAGAACAGCAGGGTCCAGCCAGCCAGCATTCTGCCCAAGGGTCTGCTCAAAAATATAAGTTCACCGAAAGAAACCCAGGATTAAGAAAAAGAGCCCCACGGGAGCCCCTATCCAGTTATCTTTCTGTTTTCACTTCCCTATTTTTGCATGTTTAACAACTTTATTAATAATTTTCAAATAGGTTTTAAGGGTAAGAGTTTAGGGGATGGAGAAAGACAAAGTTTAGGATAAATTTATGCATGTTTAAGGAGAAGCAAAAAATACCTGGTAATACACAGCATCCCGACTTCTTCCCTTCCTAGAGGATCGTTTGCTTCCAATTGCAACACCTCAATAAGAAAATCTCAGCAAACTGCATGTGCTCCTCTTCTCACGCAGAAGACGCAGAGATTCGATCATCCAAAAATGGGAGAAGCTGACTAAATGAGAAAGCCAAAATTAGTGAGGAAAACCTGGTGCATTCTGACGAGCTTCCCCCCAAGCCTTCGGAACGTGCAGGAGCAGCAGGGAGGATGTGCTCAGGTGAAGGCAGCAGCTACCTCCGGGTGCAATTCATGGCACAACAGGGTTTTGTAGAGCCTGCAAAGATGGCTGGCTCGGGTTTGAGGTCATTAGAGGTAAAATATTGCTACCCAGCCAAAGAGCTCTGGAGACCGTGTGCCTCACACGCAGGCAAACAGATTATTTTGAAGCCAAGGACAGTTTTAGTGCTATTGTTCTTAGGAGGTATCACTGTCTGTGATTCCAGGGGAAGCAATGTGACGTCCCTGGGATGTTATTTGCAGGGGTGTGTGCACACCAGCTCCTCTGCACAGATAACTCTTGTTTTGGATGCCTGCAGTTCCACCTCTATCGCCGCTGTAAATCTCCGTAGTGATTTAAAGCCCAGCACAGAGCGAGACTCCCAGCCAGAGGCACAGTCAGAGCACTTCCCCAACAAGATTCAGCTCTCCCAAAATTTATAAGGTACAAAAACATTCACTGCAGATACAGGAAGCAGATTTGGGATTTAGATGCTGGAAACTACGGGAGTGTTTGGAAGGTGCTGGGGCAGCCTCCTAAGCGGAAACCAAGCCACGAAAGCCAAAGACAGAGAATTCTCTCGTGTAGGTGATTCCTTTGAAATCCATTAAATGGTAGCTGGGATAGTCCCAGCTGCTATCCTGGCTCCCAGAAAACTGGCATTGAAATACTTCCCCTCGGAACCAGAGATGATTCACAATCATTTACAGGAATAGGCACAGTCACGTACAACACCCAAGGCAAGAAGTCCTCAAGTGTAAAATGCTGTTCCTTATGTCTTTGGACTAAAACTGAGAAACTAAAGGGGAAGAAGAGCAGCAAACCTCTAAATGACTTCTCTCTGGGCACTCACCTTCTCCTCCCACCCTCTCAGAGGCTTCCAGGGAACTGAATAACCAAATTATTCATCCACATGCAGTCTTAACCTCTGTCTGCAGCCGTGCATAGCTTCCTTGAGGGCTGAAACAGCTTTGATTCCAGTGAGCAAAAAAATATCCCAAATTTTGAACATCTCTAATCGGATCCCAAGGAGGAGTGTAAACTGTCTGGGTAAGAACTGCACTCCTCACAGTTTCCCCACACTGGGAGGCCCCGTTAGAGCAGATGGATAGGTTCTACCAGGAAACAAAATGCGTGTTATGTACGATGGAGAAAAAGAGCAGGAAATGTTTAATAAGATATCCAGTGGAAAAAAATCCTGAATAATAAATCTTTCCCAAACAAAAATGGAAACGGGCAATTGGATATTCTAGGAGGGGAGAAAGAAGGATAATTCATCATATAAATAATTCATTGCAAGTTTTAGCAGCCGGCGCTGCCGTGCATTTGGCATGGAAGACAGATGACACTGGGAGTGCTTGCGTGTGTGCTTAAATTTGTGTATATACAATTTTTTGCCCAAGTATATGGTTCTCATTGTGGTGCAGATCTGAAGATCTGTTATCAGTAGCCCATTGATTAGCATTTATTACTTAGGAGAGGGTATTGCTATTTTTTAACATCATAAACTGAGGTGCTAACCCAGCCTCACCGATCGATGCTGCCTGATAACCCAGGCTGTGATGGGTTTTAGTTATGCAGCATCACACAGAGCTCACTCTCCCAGAAGAGGGATGGGCAGGACAGCAGGGGCCTCCAGAGGCATCTTGGAAGCCTCTGGCTTGGGAGCTGCCACTGCCTTCCTCAGAGGAGCCACACATGAGCAGCCAGGTGGAACCTGAGCAGCAACAGCACCCAGCTAAAACCGAATGCTGTGAGCATGGAGATCATGCTCCTACTTCCAGTAGGAATACTGATGTTGCCTACAGGTTTCATCTGAGGAAAAGGGTTTTTTTTTTCTGCCCTTAAGGGAGCAGGTAGGTGCTGCTTGAAGCAGTGACCCGTGACAGAGGTGACAGCCTTGTGGGGCCGGGCAGAGCCAACACCTTCCCCCTGTGTGCTGCTGCTCCATGGGCACAGCCAGGCACGGAGCACCGTACCCAGCACTCGTGGCTGGCTCCCTGCTTGCCCCAACCCTGGTTTCTTTTCCTAATAAGAGGCATTTTCCTTCCTCTCTCCTGAGGGAAATCAGAAGTGCGTGTGGTGGTTGGCGCACCGCTTGCGACCGAACCCAGCATTTGTGCTGCTTCCCCAGGACAAAACAGGCACCCCAAGAGCACAGCCCTGTTAGTACAGCACCTCCAGACTTCACCCAGCTGCAGGGCAAGCTGGTGCTTTGCCACTGACCCCAGGAAATTACACATTTGGGCTGCCTTCAAGTCATTACTTGCCCATTTTATCCAATTATATTTTATTTATTAAGCTACTCTTGAAACTCTCCTGGCACTGGCTGTTTTACACCTTCAGTGCATTTTTTAAAATCCTGTTATTTTATGAACTGATTAACAAGACTTACTGCTCCATACAAATCCAAAATATGGTCCAATTGAATCAAGAATCCAGCATTGGCTTTTCCATATCACCATTGGAAAACACCTGCTGTTAAGCACTACTACAGCACTTGTTTTATTTAGCCAAATTTGATTATTATTATAAACCAGTTTGAAAATTAACAACTTCACTCTAAAATCCAAAACATGAATGTGAAAAATAATGACAAGCAGAGCTTTCATGCTCCAAGCATTATTTCCACTGAGAAAGAAAAATGATGTTAATTTGCATAATTTAAATAATCAAATCTGCTTTCCAGATAAAATTGTTAACAAACCATTGATTTAATCTCAAGTGCCCAACAGATCCTGTAAACTCTGATGCCAAATATCTATTCTTTTAATTAAAACAAATGAATTTAATAAAGATGACTGGTATGGTAATTAAAGCTATTATGAAGTAGAGGCTACTTTGATCTAGAACACGCACCCTTTAATTCTTGTGTGAAGGTGTTCCCACAGACACAGCCCAGACCCAAGTTCTTGTTATATTCCTGTCTTCAAAGAAGAATTGTTTCAGACATGTCACTGCAAAGCGTTGGTTTAAGTCACTATTTTCCCACCACAATTTACACTCTCACACAATGGAGCAACAAGAATCAGCTGTTCAAAAATGGCACTTGAAACTAAATGCTATATTTAAAATTTTTTTCTTTGTATTTAATGCTTCACATGCCCTTACCTTCAGCTTTGCACATGTGTAGGCAAATAGGATATTCTGCTGCTCATAAATCCTTGGTGCAAAATCAGCAATTGCAGTTTTTAGGGCCAATTTAGGACTCCACAAGTGGTCGCCTGTGAAATGCAAAAGACAGCAAAACCTATAAGACTGGAATGGGTTTGAAGAACTGATTTTGGGTTTATGTGGTGGCAACTGATCGAGAAGGATTTACCTTTACTCAGGAGAGACAAGGGATGTCTGTCATGTCCTAATTCCTTCCAGGCTACTGAGAGACCCACAGCATCAATCTCCTCAACTTCTCCTTCCTCCCTCAAATGAGGACCAGCCTTTGACATCCTCCACTCCCAATTCAAGACCAAGACTTCTCCCTTTCTGGTTAACCAGTGGCACCCAGGATTCCCAGGAAATCAGAATATGCAATTTATTGAATAGACAGAAAACACTAAGAAAGAAAGAAAGAGAAAAAGGAAATTATCACTCATTGACCAGTGATACCATTACTGGGA